GGTAATTAACCTCTTCCATACCGGGCACTTTTACCACCTTCCTGCCCAGGCCAATTTTCAGGTTTCAGCACTCTCACACTTTGAATGACGATTGCGCGGTCATGCTACATTGTACCCAAACTAAGAATAAGAAAAATTAATAATAGCGCCTATGGTCAAAATTATATAACTTACTAATAGTGTACCAGCTGCAAAAAATCACCATATATAAAGTGTACCAATAAATAAATAATTTGCGCTAGTAAATGTGTATAAATATATAAATATATATAAAGAAATCATCAAATCATAAGTCCAGAAAAAAATATATATATGCCAATACCACAAAAAAATATAAAAAAAACTTTTAAGTGCAAAAAACTTTTGTGCAAAAAAAAAGTGTCTAAATATGAAAAATTTCACCAAAAAACCTTGATAATATAATGGCAGATCATCCATAAATATATCTTCAGAGACGGAAACTCTGCAACACACCGATCCTCATCGATCGAAATAACAGGATGAAAAACTTTGTAGTTAATCGAAAATCCACTTCTCCAATAGATAAAGGACCACCTTCAAACGTATCCATGGGGGGAAATGCCAAGCACTCAAGAGAAACAGAAAGACTTCATGGTGCAATATTATAAAAACAAATTCCTTTATTAGGTACTCATTGCACTTACTCAAGAGGTGTCCCAGCCGACACCAGCATCAACAGCATAACAGCAATCACATAAATGAGCCTGGCTCCTCAGCATATGCGCAGTAGCTGGCAGCCAAAAACGTAATGACGTCACATCAATCAAGCTCCGCCCTACGCGTTTCGTCATCGACGTCCTCACGGAGCGGATAGATGTGAGATGTCTCAACCTCCTTAAATATTCACTCACAGGAAACGAACAGCTGACATCAATGGGGAAACAAGCAAAGCAAGCCGCCCCACAGATGACAGGAGTCCACAAAGGATATACAATGTATCCAATATATTTGCCATCACAAGCAAAAAAACTTTAAAACAAGAGAACAAAAATAAAATAAAAAGAAATTTAAATAAAACACTAATGATAAATAAATTAAATAAATAAATACATTAACGGGCCAGTACCCTCTAAGACTGTGTTTCAAAAAGGGAACTTAAAGGGCCAGTAACACTTTAAACACAAATAAAGGGGAACTCTAGTAATAATACAAAAATAATGCAGAAATTGTACAAAAAGCATACAATCTCCCATATATCATCTTTAAACAGTTGCCTATATAAAAATATACTTAAAATAACATAAAAATTAAAAATTTGTGAGAAAACAATTCAAATCTATATCGACATTTAACCCAAATGGTTGCAAGGAATTTAGTTCATAAATCCAAAACGTCTCTTTTTGGAAATCTCATTAACCAAATCCGAGCCCCCAATGGGGTTTTACCATCTCGATCCCATAAAAGGTAAGTAAGCTCGGATCACAATTATGTACCAATTTGAAATGTTTGGATACACTATGTTTATCAAATCCTTTTACTATGTTTCTTATATGTTTGCCTATTCTTGTTTTTAAACATCTCCCAGTTCTCCCAATATATCTCAAATGACATGGACATTCTAAAACATAAATCACGTGTAGAATTGCATGTAATCAGGGATTTAATATCATATTCTTTTTTGGAAAATGAAGAGCAGAATGACTTTCTTTTTTTATTATTACCAACTTTTACAGTCCTACAAACTTTACACTTCCTACAAGGAAAAAAAACCATTTAAATTTGGAAACAGATCAAACTTTTTTGGGGGTTCGATGACATTGCGAGCCAGTTTCATCCTAAGAGACTTATTTTTCTTATAAATGAATTTAGGAGTTTTAGATAAGAATTTATTTAGTATATCATCTTTTAACAAAATGGGCCAATATTTTTTAAAAATTCGTTCAATATTTTTGTATTGCATATTATAGTTAGTAATAAAGGGTACATTATTTTCAAATCCCAAATGAGCCTTTCTATTTCCAAGAAACGTCTCCCTATCTTTAATACTAATCGAATTTCTCTCTTTAATCAAAAAGGTCTTATCATACCCTTTCTCTATAAATCTTTCAATTAACACCTCAGATTGATCGAAAAAATCTTTGTTAGCGCTACAATTTCTTTTTAATCTGGTAAACTGACTTTTTGGAGTGCTATATAACCAATTTGGATGATGTCCACTAGAAATAGGTATATAGCTGTTTTTGTCCACTTCCTTGAAGTAAGTTTTGGTACAAATTTGGCCATTATCTTTATATAGGACCAGATCCAAAAAATTTATTTGCTCAAAATCACTAATAACAGTGAATCTCAATCCATAGCGGTTCATATTAATATATTCCATAAAGGAATCGAGCTTTTCTCTGGATCCATCCCATACCATTATAATGTCATCAATATACCTCTTGTATAGCCAAGGGAGCTAAGTATGCTCCCAGTGTGGCAAATCTGGTAATGGATAAATGGGAGGAAGAAAGTATTTTCAATAAATGGCCAGAGATGGCGCTATACAAGAGGTATATTGATGACATTATAATGGTATGGGATGGATCCAGAGAAAAGCTCGATTCCTTTATGGAATATATTAATATGAACCGCTATGGATTGAGATTCACTGTTATTAGTGATTTTGAGCAAATTAATTTTTTGGATTGGTCCTATATAAAGATAATGGCCAAATTTGTACCAAAACTTACTTCAAGGAAGTGGACAAAAACAGCTATATACCTATTTCTAGTGGACATCTGTCAGGAATGGACTGGCCAGCAATGGTGGGACTCACCTGCCTTTTGATCTGCAGTACCAGGGCTGGCCAGTGGGTGCTCCCAGCAATCAGAGACTCAACTTTGCAGCCAGCTAACACCTGGAACTGATTATGCTGGGGTATTTAAGGGATGGCCAGACCCACAGACTCTGCCTTGGTGTGTGTTTGTCCTGGGCCCTGTATCTGTCCTGCATCCTGTTTCTGTTCCTTTGCTGACCCTCTGTACTATGCTGCTTGCTACCTGTTCTGATCCCTGGCTTGTGACCCTGACCATCCCTCTGCTTGACCCTCTGTACTACGCTGCTTGCTACCTGCTGAACCTGGCCTGTGACCCCGACCATTCTCCGCTTGCTCCCCCTGTACCTACCTGCCCAATTGATATTGACCCGGCCTGCCTGACGACGCTTGCTTGTATGTAATGTTATCTGTGGGTGGTTGGTTTGGTTTGTTTGCACTGTATTATGTTTAGTATTGCACTGCGTTTATGTTTGTATTGTTAGTGTTAATAAATTATATTGTTTATCCCATATCTGAAGTCTGCGTTTCCCTGCGTCAGTCACACATCTCTGGTCATACCTGGGAGCCCTGACATTACACCAAGGCCAATCCTGACCAGAAGTGGCTGCACAGGGAAGCCATCTTGGTTTGTTGATGGGAAGGATGGATCTGGATGAGGTTGAGTATTTATCTCTGCTAGTGTTTGATGACAGGGAGTATGCTTATCAAACTCTGAAGGAGTATCCCGGGATGAACTGCTAGAATGTATACGGCTCGCTCATGTTCTAGTAGATCAGGGCACAGAGTTCTCTGAGCTGCAGCCTTTGATTGAGGTTTGTGCAGAGTTGGTTTCATCTGGTTCCCCCGAATGCAGGGATGAATTTTTGCCACCATTTAGTGCAGACCAGGTAGAGTCCCTGGTGTGGTTATTAGAGGATGATGTGGGTTACTTTCTGGAGCGTTATTCCACATGTTCACCACAGGTACTAAGAGATTGTATAAACGCAGTGCAGTCATTGACCAGACAGGCTTTGTGTAAGCTCAGCTTTGTTCAACCCCTACTGCAGACATGGACAGACTTGTTGCACCCAGCCTCAGTCAGCTTACAAAAACCCAGTCCTGCTTCTAACTCTTCTCCTGTATTCCCAACAGCTCCTCCAGTTACAGCCCAGTATACTTGGCCATCTACCGCATGTCAGTACCCTGTTCCCACTCGCTGCACCTATCCTGCCTTTAACCCTGTAAAAAAGCCCTCTGTAGCAACTGCTCCCTCTCCTGTTCCATCCTCCAGTTCTTCTCTGTCTCCAGCTGCTCCATTCGTTTGCAGACCTGCGTTTACTTGCAGTGCTCCAGTAGTTAAAACAGAAAAAAAGCGAAAATTCTTTCCAACCAATACCATCCTGCCAGTATCCAAACTGGTGAACCTGCCTTCCGTGGTTCAGCCTGAAGCCTCTACTCGGCCTGAACCCTCTACTCGGCTGAAGCCTCTACTCGGCCTGAATCCTCTACTCGGCCTGAATCCTCTACTCGGCCTGAATCCTCTACTCGGCCTGAATCCTCTACTCGGCGTGATGCCTCTACTCGGCCTGAAGCCTCTACTCGGCCTGAAGCCTCTACTCAGCCGGACGCCGGCACATTCAGCCTGATGCCTCTACCCAGCATGATGAACTGATCCAGCCTGATGATCCTATTAGGCCAGTTGACTCGATGCCGCTGTTGATCCAGATGATCCGGTACCTGATCCGGTGCTCGCTGTCGTGCCAATTGACTCAGAGCCCGCTGTCGTACCTGGTGACTCGGTGCCCACTGCCTTGCCAGATGACACGGTGCCCGCTGGCGAGCCAAATGACCTGATGCTGGTGACCCAGTGCCCGCTGTCATACCTGGTGACCGATGCCCGCTGTCGAGCCAGACGATCCAATGCCTGGTGACCCGGTGCCCACTGCCTTGCCAGATGACGTGGTGCCCGCTGGCAAGCCAAATGACCTGATGCCTGTTGACCCAGTGCCGCTGTCGAGCCAGACAATCCGGTACCTGATGACCCGGTGCCCACTGTCGTGCCTGTTGATTCGGAGCCCACTGCCTTGCCAGATGACGCGGTGCCCGCTGTTGAGCCAAATGACCTGATGCCTGGTGACCCGATGCCCGCTGTCCAGTCAGACGATTCAATGTCTGACCCAGTGCCCGTGGTCATACCAGTTGACTCGGAGCCCACTGCCTTGCCAGATGATGCGGTGCCGCGGTCGAGCCAAATGACCTGATGCCGGGTGTGACCCGATGCCGCTGTCCAGCCAGACGATCCAATGTCTGACCCAGTGCCAGCGGTCATGCCAGTTGACTCGGAGCCCACTGTCGTGCCAGATGACTCGGCGCCCGCCGCTCTGCCTGAGGGCCCGAGACCTGTCACTCTACCTGGGGGTCCGGCGCCTGCCGCTCCGCCTGGGGGCCCGAGACCTGTCGCTCCGCCTGGGGGCCCGAGACCTGTCGCTCCACCTGGGGGTCCGGCGCCCGCCGCTCCGCCTGAGGGCCCGAGGACCTGTCGCTCCACCTGGGGGTCCGGCGCCCGCTGCTCCGCCTGAGGGCCCGAGACCTGTCGCTCCACCTGGGGGTCCGGCGCCCGCCGCTCCGCCTGAGGGCCCGAGACCTGTCGCTCCACCTGGGGGTCCGGGCGCCCCCGCTCCGCTGAGGGCCCGAGACCTGTCGCTCCATCTGGGGGTCCGACGCCCGCGCTCCGCCTGGGGGCCCGAGACCTGTCGCTCCACCTGGGGGTCCGGCGCCCGCCGCTCCGCCTGAGGGCCCGAGACCTGTCGCTCCATCTGGGGGTCCGGCGCCCGCCGCTCCGCCTGGGGGCCCGAGACTGTCGCTCCGCTGAGGGCCCGAGACCTGTCGCTCCACCTGGGGGTCCGGCGCCCGCCGCTCCGCCTGAGGGCCCGAGACCTGTCGCTCCATCTGGGGGTCCGGCGCCCGCCGCTCCGCCTGAGGGCCCGAGACCTGTCGCTCCGCCTGGGGGCCCGAGACCTGTCGCTCCGCCTGGGGGCCCGGCGTCCGCCGCTCCGCCTGAGGGCCCGAGACCTGTCGCTCCACCTGGGGGTCCGGCGCCCGCCGCTCCGCCTGAGGGCCCGAGACCTGTCGCTCCACCTGGGGGTCCGGCGCCCGCCGCTCCGCCTGAGGGCCCGGTGCCTGTCGCCCCTCCTGGGGGCCCGGTGCCTGCCTGTCGCCCCTCCTGGGGGCCCGGTGCCTGTCGCCCCTCCTGGGGGCCCGGTGCCTGCTGCCCCGCCCGGGGGCCCGGTGCCTGCTGCTCCGCCCGGTGACCCGCTGCCTGCTGCTTCGCCTGGTAATCCGATGTGCCCGGAGTCCAGCCCGATGTGCCTCTGCCCGGAGGTTAGCCCGATGTGCCTCTGCCCGGAGTCCAGCCCCGATATGCCTCTGCCCGGAGTCCAGCCCGATGTGCCTCTGCCCGGAGTCCAGCCCGATGTGCCTCTGCCCGGAGTCCAGCCCGATGTGCCTCTGCCCGGAGTCCAGCCCGATGTGCCTCTGCCCGGAGTCCAGCCCGATGTGCCTCTGCCCGGAGTCCAGCCCGATGTGCCTCTGCCCGGAGTCCAGCCCGATGTGCCTCTGCCCGGAGTCCAGCCCGATGTGCCTCTGCCCAGAGTCCAGCCCGATGTGCCTCTGCCCGATGTGCCTCTGCCCGATGTGCCTCTGCCCGATGTGTGCCTCTGCCCGATGTGCCTCTGCCCGGTGTCCAGCCCGATGTGCCTCTGCCTGGTGTACCGCTGCCCGAAGTCCTGCCAGGTGTGCCAGTCTTTGATATCCCGCCAGTTACCAGACCCGGGCGGTGGAACATTTTTCCCAGCTAGGACTGTTTGGAGCGTCCTGAGGCCGCTCCTTGAGGGGGGGGTACTGTCAGGAATGGACTGGCCAGCAATGGTGGGACTCACCTGCCTTTTGATCTGCAGTACCAGGGCTGGCCAGCGGGTGCTCCCAGCAATCAGAGACTCAACTTTGCAGCCAGCTAACACCTGGAACTGATTATGCTGGGGTATTTAAGGGATGGCCAGACCCACAGACTCTGCCTTGGTGTGTGTTTGTCCTGGGCCCTGTATCTGTCCTGCATCCTGTTTCTGTTCCTTTGCTGACCCTCTGTACTATGCTGCTTGCTACCTGTTCTGATCCCTGGCTTGTGACCCTGACCATCCCTCTGCTTGACCCTCTGTACTACGCTGCTTGCTACCTGCTGAACCTGGCCTGTGACCCCGACCATTCTCCGCTTGCTCCCCCTGTACCTACCTGCCCAATTGATATTGACCCGGCCTGCCTGACGACGCTTGCTTGTATGTACTGTTATCTGTGGGTGGTTGGTTTGGTTTGTTTGCACTGTATTATGTTTAGTATTGCACTGCGTTTATGTTTGTATTGTTAGTGTTAATAAATTATATTGTTTATCCCATATCTGAAGTCTGCGTTTCCCTGCGTCAGTCACACATCTCTGGTCATACCTGGGAGCCCTGACAACATCATCCAAATTGGTTATATAGCACTCCAAAAAGTCAGTTTACCAGATTAAAAAGAAATTGTAGCGCTAACAAAGATTTTTTCGATCAATCTGAGGTGTTAATTGAAAGATTTATAGAGAAAGGGTATGATAAGACCTTTTTGATTAAAGAGAGAAATTCGATTAGTATTAAAGATAGGGAGACGTTTCTTGGAAATAGAAAGGCTCATTTGGGATTTGAAAATAATGTACCTTTTATTACTAACTATAATATGCAATACAAAAAATATTGAACGAATTTTTAAAAAATATTGGCCCATTTTGTTAAAAGATGATATACTAAATAAATTCTTATCTAAAACTCCTAAATTCATTTATAAGAAAAATAAGTCTCTTAGGATGAAACTGGCTCGCAATGTCATCGAACCCCCAAAAAAGTTTGATCTGTTTCCAAATTTAAATGGTTTTTTTCCTTGTAGGAAGTGTAAAGTTTGTAGGACTGTAAAAGTTGGTAATAATAAAAAAAGAAAGTCTTTCTGCTCTTCATTTTCCAAAAAAGAATATGATATTAAATCCCTGATTACATGCAATTCTACACATGTGATTTATGTTTTAGAATGTCCATGTCATTTGAGATATATTGGGAGAACTGGGAGATGTTTAAAAACAAGAATAGGCGAACATATAAGAAACATAATAAAAGGATTTGATAAACATAGTGTATCCAAACATTTCAAATTGGTACATAATTGTGATCCGAGCTTACTTACCTTTTATGGGATCGAGATGGTAAAACCCCATTGGAGGGGCTCGGATTTGGTTAATGAGATTTCCAAAAAAGAGACGTTTTGGATTTATGAACTAAATTCCTTGCAACCATTTGGGTTAAATGTCGATATAGATTTGAATTGTTTTCTCACAAATTTTTTTTTATGTTATTTTAAGTATATTTTTATATAGGCAACTGTTTAAAGATGATATATGGGAGATTGTATGCTTTTTGTACAATTTCTGCATTATTTTTGTATTATTACTAGAGTTCCCCTTTATTTGTGTTTAAAGTGTTACTGGCCCTTTAAGTTCCCTTTTTGAAACACAGTCTTAGAGGGTACTGGCCCGTTAATGTATTTATTTATTTAATTTATTTATCATTAGTGTTTTATTTAAATTTCTTTTTATTTTATTTTTGTTCTCTTGTTTTTAAAGTTTTTTTTGCTTGTGATGGCAAATATATTGGATACATTGTATATCCTTTGTGGACTCCTGTCATCTGTGGGGCGCGGCTTGCTTTGCTTGATTTCCCCATTGATGTCAGCTGTTCGTTTCCTGTGAGTGAATATTTAAGGAGGTTGAGACGTCTCACATCTATCCGCTCCGTGAGGACGTCGATGACGAAACGCGTAGGGCGGAGCTTGATTGATGTGACGTCATTACGTTTTTTTGGCTGCCAGCTACTGCGCATGTGCTGAGGAGCCAGGCTCATTTATGTGATTGCTGTTATGCTGTTGATGCTGGTGTCGGCTGGGACACCTCTTGAGTAAGTGCAATGAGTACCTAATAAAGGAATTTGGTTTTTATAATATTGCACCATGAAGTCTTTCTGTTTCTCTTGAGTGCTTGGCATTTCCCCCCATGGATACGTTTGAAGGTGGTCCTTTATCTATTGGAGAAGTGGATTTTCGATTAACTACAAAGTTTTTCATCCTGTTATTTCGATCGATGAGGATCGGTGTGTTGCAGAGTTTCCGTCTCTGAAGATATATTTATGGATGATCTGCCATTATATTATCAAGGTTTTTTGGTGAAATGTTTCATATTTAGACACTTTTTTTTTTGCACAAAAGTTTTTTATACTTAAAAGTTTTTTTATATTTTTTTGTGGTATTGGCATATATATATTTTTTTCTGGACTTATGATTTGATGATTTCTTTATATATATTTATATATTTATACACATTTACTAGCGCAAATTGTTTATTTAATTGTACCCAAACTACAATTTTATCATTTTCTTCACACAACTAGAGCTTTATTTTGGTGGTATTTAATCACCGCTGGGGTTTTTATTTTTTGCTAAATTAACAAAAACGACCAAAAATTTTGAAATAAAAACACGTTTTTCTTTGTTTCTGTTATAAAAGTTTGCAAATAAATAATTGTTCTTCATAAATTTAGGCCGAGATGTATTCTGCTACATGTCTTTGGTGAAAATAACCCAAATCAGTATTTATTATGTAGTCCGTAGGAAAGTTATAGAGTTCACAGACTATGGGATATATCTGAAAATTGATCAATCCTGAAGTACTGACAGCCAATCTAATTTCTTGAGGTCCAAGAATGTCAGAACAGTACAGATATCCCCCAAATGAACCCTTTTTGAAAAGTAGACAATCCAACGTATTTCATAACAGGCATGGCAAGTTTTTTGAAGTTGTAATTTTTTTTTTCATAATTTTTCTGAAAATGAAGAAATTAAAAAAATGTCACTATTTTGTTTTTTTAACATACTGTCACCAGTGCAGTTCAGCATCATCATATAATTGGCATGGCGGTGATCAGGGGCACTGACTGGTGACAGTACGAAAAAAAAAATAGATTTTTTTTATTTACTTATTTTTTATTACTTTTTTTCTCTTTTTTAAGATTTTGTTTTCATATTTCACTATGGCCAAAGTAGTGTAATGTTACCATAGTAACATTGTACTACTTTGGGGAAGTGATCAGTATTTTTTTTTTTTTTTTTACACAATTTGCTTATAGCAAAAAATTACTTTGCTATAAGCAAGCATTTACCTGAATGAAATTGATTCATTCAGGGTCTTTTTTTGTGATTAGCTGTGATTTGGTCACGGCTAATCACATGACACAGCTGGGCTGTTATTGGCTCAGCTTGTGCATGTGATCGCTGTGACCATTCACAGCTAGACACACTTGTATACAATGGATGGCATGAAAGGAAGCCATTCATTAGTCACAGCAGGTCACATGGTACTGGCAATGGGGCCAGTACACAGATCTGTCATCGGCTGTGTCTGAGGTACATGGCCGATGACAGATCGTGCCGCAGTGCAGCCCTGCGGGCATGCGCAATGCGTGCTCCGAAAAGGACATATAGCATCCACCTGGAGGGACGAGGTGTTGCCCAACTGCCATCTGGCTATAGGCCGGGCGGCAACTAGTTAACAAACATGTCTATACTTACCTGCTCTGTGTAATGGTTTTGCACAGAGCAGCCCCGATCCTCCTTAGGTTTCCTGACGGAACTCCTGGCTCCTCACCTCTGCTGAGTTCCCCCAGGGCAAGCTGTTTACTATGGGGACACTCATCTGGGCTCCCTCCTGAGCTGCTTCTGTGTTTCCCATAGGCGCCGCTCTCTCCTCACTGGCTGTGATTGACTGCAGCAGAAGCCAACAGACAATGAGAACTAAGAGAGCCTCGGCTCTTGTGCACATCAGTGGATCAACATTGGGCTCAGGTGAGAATAAGGTGGGATGGGGGGGGAGCTGCACTAAATGCATGCATGAAGGTAAAATAATCTGACTTTATAACCTTTTTAACCATTTCCCTGCATTAATGAATTTCCTGTATTATGGTAAAAATGTCCCATTAGTTGTATCTCCCCCCCCCCCCCCCC